CCCCCCCCCCCCACATGGATGCATTGGGAACTGCCTGGAAGATTTGTCCCGTTGTGAGAAACTATCAATCCCATGATGATACTGTGTTAACTGAAAACCCACTCACAGTCTTTGATGAAGCCTTGGTCAGCTTTTCCTTTCCTTTAGTTTTTTTAGGATAGAATTAAATAGAATGTGTTTCTTCCTCCTCCAAAATTTTTACTGGAGATATGAGTGCCCGAAATCAAAAGACAGCCAGGTGGGCACTAGCGAAGGAACCCAGCAAGCAAGGATGCCCTGCATGTTGCCGCGCTTCTATGAGAAGCAAGAGTCTGCCTCTGTTCTTATTTTGGCAGGTCGTGTTCCTGTGAAAGACAGAATTATGTTCTATGCATGGAATGTTCTAGGGTAGAATCTTGGGTGTGGAAAGATGGATGGTTGTTCCCTCTTGGGATAGATACCTTTGCCCAAATTGCTGTAAGAGACAAGTATCTCTTTATTCAGTTGGTTCCATTAAATAGATTGCAGGCTGGGGGACAAGTCCACAAAAAATTTTTCTTCACACAGTTAGAAACTCTTGATAAACAGTTGAAGGTTGTTCTAGTTTCTTCCTTCGTTGCTGTGACAAAATACTCTGACCAATACCAACTTGGGGAGGAAAGGGTTTATTCAGCTTACATCTCCCAGGTCACAGTTCATCAGGGAGCCCAAGATAGAGACTCAGGGCAGGAACCTGGAGGCAGGAGCTGGAGCACACGCCGTGGAGGAACGCTGCTTACTGGCTTGCTCCCCTGGCCCATCCTCAACTTGCTTTCTTATACAACATAGGTCCACCACCCAGAGTGGCTGGGCCCTCCCATATCACTCAGTAGTCAAGAAGATGCCCCTGAGACATGGCCACAGGCCAGTCCAATGGAGGCAGTTCCCCAACTGAGGCTCCCTCAACTCAGGTGTGTCAAGTTGACACTAAAGCTATCTAGCACAAAGTTAGTGGCCAACCTTTCAGTGTCCTGAGCTTATAGGTGTGGTAGCATGAGGCCTTTTACAAGTTTGGTTAGCATGTGGCTGTTGAGTTATCCTCTGCTGCATTTTTCTTGACATTGCCACCTAATTGGACTGCCTGCTACCTAATTTATACCCGCATCCTATCTTTCAGTTCCTATGGTTTTATTTTTTTCCATTTTCACACATAGGACATCTGAAACCTTGTTTCCTATTGTCTTTCTACTGGACTGTAGTAGCCTGCTTTTCTAGTAGCATTACTGTATGATTTTTGAACTATATTTGAAATTGTATTGAAATGGCTTTCAAGAATACATTCTGAGCCAGGTGTAGTAGTGCATGCCAGTAGTCTCAACACTTGGGAAGCAGAGGCAGGTGGATCTCTCAGAGATCCTGGCTGGCCTGGTCCATTGAGTTCCAGGTCAGCTGGAAGAGACCCTGTCTCAGCAAGAAGCCCCCCGCCCCCATCCCAAGAAAATACAAAGAATATATTCTGTTTCCCAACTACTTTGAAAGTGAGATACACATTTGGTTCTAGCAAGGCGGCATCTTGGTAGAGACGAAATAGTGGCTGGGGGATAACTTGACCCTGAGACAGGCAAGAGAGGGATGGAGGGAGCTGTATAGGTGAGCATGCCTTATCCCTAGCGCTTAGTAGCAGAGTGTTGTGGAATTTCGAGTATCTGCATACCCTTAATGAGATATCTCAGGGATGGGACCCAAGTCCATACACAAAATTCATTTGTATTTCAGATACATCTTCTGTAAGGAGACAGTAATTTCATGCATTACTTTTATTGATTTTATTTTTTTAAAGACTATGATGTGTTACATAAGGTGATATGTGGAGTTTTCCACTTATGGGATTATATCAACATTCCAAAGCTTCAAATTCTGGAGCATTTCAGGTTTCAGATTTTTGTGTTGGGGATAAATATTTAATCTATAAAACTAATTCATACAGTTATAAAGAGTAAACAAACCCACATGTAATAATTAGTGTGCTGTATTAGTAACTACTCAGAGAACTAATAAGTTATTTTAGCAGAGCATATCTCTGATCTCTGCAGACCTCTGCGGTCCTGACATTGGATATTTGCTTGAGTCTGTACATGGTCTTTCTGATCTCTCAGCAGCGATCCCCAAGTTCTTCAGGACTCAGCATTCTGTGGGACAGTCTTTGTAAATAAAGTACTGTGATCACTTTGGGCTCTGTGTCGCCTTCCAACTTAATATTCTTAAGATAATGGAGACAACTCAACATTCGTTTTCTTTGTGCTGTGATTAAAAATGGCTAGGACTAGAGATGTATCTCAGTGATAAACCACTTGCCTAACATGCTTTGGGCCTTGGATTCTATCCCTAGAGCTGTAAACAAACAAACAAAACAAAATAAAACAAACCCAAATTGACTAAACACAAAGATGCTTAAATTGCCTCAAAGTTCCCTGTTAAGCCTGCTAGTCTGACAAATATTTACTGTCTAGTATGTATGTATCAGATGAACAGAACAGGTCTCCAGTATCATAATAATCCCAGATACTAGTAAGGGCTTTGAAGACCTTAAAAGGCTGCAGAGAGACTACAGAAGGGCTGTAAGTATGGGGAGGCTTTCTAGAATAGATACTTGAGTCTCACCTTTGAAGGGACCTTAAAAGAGCTGAGGGATGTAGACGTGGTCTAGGAATAGACTGGGCTTGTTTGTTTTTAAGGAGTAAACAAGGCCAGTGTGGCTGGAGGAAGAAGTAGAATAGCAGGAGGTGAGGTGGTCAGCTGAAGGGGACAGATCAGGTGGGGCCTTGCGGAATGGGCAGATGTTTGAGCTTTAGGTCACTTTACCCGTTCAGGACTTGAAGCAGAGATCTGATCTACAACTCTTTTCTTGATACAGGGTCTCCCTATGTATCATAGGCTGGCCTTGGACTCCACAATCCCCTGCTTCAGTTTCTTGAGTATTTAGTAGAGGCATGCCCCACTGTGCCCAGCTTCTGCTGTGACTTGTAAAAGATCATTACTGGGAAAGGCAGTGGGTGTATTCACTGTATAGCCAGTGATTCTGCAATATTTGTCTCATTTATCTTGTTCCAGAGATGCAACCCTTGCTTCTTCCTAATTGGTTTGCTAAAAGTCATGTATTCTGATAGAGAATATGCTTTCTGAACCCTAAAGCAGAGCTGGAAGGGCTTGACCTTTTTATTATTATTTATTTTTTATTTTTCCTTTAACATCAAAACACAGTGCAGTTATGCACCACTTTATGATTGAGGTCCCATGAGATCATGGTAAGAGTGTATCAGCCAGTACCGTCTAGTCATCTTAGTTTGTACAAGCACCCTCTATGACGTTTCTGTAACAGGGACTTACCCAGTGGCGCACTTCTCAGAAGGCCTGTGTGTGAAAAAGGGTGTTTAGTTTCCGACTTCAGTTTTTAAAAAAGATTTGTGCTTTTATTTAACAACTTAGCTTTTCTTCTAAAATTTGTTGCAAGAAATCTTGAAAATGCTAAGGAATGCAGAAAACTGCACAGTATGGGGGGAAAATCTGGATTTAAAAATGCCTTCCTCATTTGTAAGAGAATGTTCTCTGTTAGTATGTAATGCCACAGAGTAGTAGCATCTTCGGCACTAGCAGTGCTGAGTTCTGAGAGCCGTTCAGTAGTGAGCAAATGCCAGTCTATTAGCATTGGGAGTTATTTTTAGATTAGATTCGCAGTACATGCAGACCCTATGGTATTTTCATAAGGTGTGTTTTATTATAACAAGTAATTTGGATGGACATAAGTCCCCTTCTATGTAAAGAGCTTCTATTGACTCCAAACGCCACCCCCAACCCTGCCCTGTTGGTGTTGGAGATCAAACCCAGGGTCTCATGCAGACTTCAGCATTGAGCCCTGTGTGATGTGTAACTCACCACATCACAAGTTCAGTTAGCTCTCCACTGACACCTGCAGAGGAGGAAACGTGAAGACATGAGTTGGGAGCAGGTGCTCGTGTTCTCGGACGGTTCCTGAAAGTGTCTAGTGCTGGTGTCTGGTGTTCTCTGAGTGGGGAATGTGCCAGCACATTTGTCTCCACTCCTTCCCATGTGCTGCTTAACCTGCCTTTGTTTTGTGTTTCCTAGAATCTTCATCATTTCAAATACTGTTTAATACCATTATGTCATAAGTAGATGATACAGACGATAAATGAACTGTCTAAAATGACATGATCTAGAAAGTTTAATTTTGAAAAGTGAACAAAACAGATCAGCTCACCAGAGTGCTTAAGAGGCATTTGTGATGACTATTTTAAGCCACTGTCTACTGTCTATTAAATTAGGGTTTTGGGGGGAGTTAGGTTTAGCTGATTCAAGAAAAGACACAATACTATTAGTTCAGAGACAAGAATGTGGCAGATTTCAGCCATCCTGCTAAACACAGAGTATTTTGAAATTGAAACTATATTAACTAGTGGGAGTTCTGCAGAGGATGAAGTAAAATTCGGCTGACTTTCAAGGGCTTTGTCTAAACTGGAAGCTATCAAAGTGAGGAACTCTTTTGTTTTTACAGTTACATCTTAGATGGAATTTCCCTCATCATAGAAAAACAAATTAGGATCATCTCTTACATAACCACAGTGCAGTGGCCCAAATCAGGAATCTAGCTCTGAGACAATATTGCACTAGCAAATCTGCCCACTGTCCTCAGATTTTTGTCAGTTCCAGTATACCCTGCAGCTTGCATGTTGGTTTAGAACCTTTCAGTTCTGAAGAGAACTGGCTATTTATAGAGTGATTCATTGGGCTTCTCTTGGGCTTCATGGTGCCTTTTGAGCATCTCAGAAGCTATGTGTTCTCCGTGTGGGGTGCCCGGGCAGGCGCTGTCACCTGTGCGTTATACAGTCCAGTCCTCCCTTTGTAACTAATAACTATTTGTGAGGGATGATTTTGACCTAAGGCAAATGTTCTGCTACTTCTCAGACTTTCATCTATTAGCTTTAGAGTCCAATGGGGAGTCTTGTGGTGATGGCTGAATATTGACTTTCTAATTCCATCTTTCCTTTTCCATGAGTCCGTGGGATCTACTTTCAGCAAGGCCTTTCCCTGTTTGCTTGTTATGAACTCATAATGTCTGATAGCACTCACTGTGTCGATGTGGGTTCCTCTTCTCGTAGCTAATAGGCCTTGGGTGTACTTTTTACTTACATTGGTAGCCTTGGCGCTTTTGGAGCAGATGAGCCCCTGAGAGTGAAACAATGGGCTATTTCCCAAGTTCCACTTAGGGTCCATCTTTCCACTCAATGTTTCTTAGGGAGGTTGCAGGTGTAGTTGTGTGGTGATGGTGTCACACGTGGCTGTGAGGAATTTAATGTTGTAAGAGCATAACACGTACATGATAGCTATTTTAAGGCATTTCCTTTCCCATTTAAAAGTTATGATACACAATCTTGATGTGTTCTTCACATCGAGAAGAGCTGGTTGCGGGCAGGACGTTGAAGATGCGCGGCCCAGCTCAGCCTGGTCCCAGCATTTTTGTGATATAAATAGCGGTGTATGCATGCAGGAACGTGCAGAACCTTGTCGAGCTTAACTTGCGCCTGGAATCCGAACCTGTGCAAACTCCCGCTCCGTGCCAATTACTTCTTAGCGATGCTGGCGATTACTTGTCCACTCCGATTTCGAGAGCAAAATGATTCCACTTCTATTTTCTCTCTACGTGGGTGGTATGAGGGAGCGAGATGCTCAAGCACCTGGCGATGGAGGCTGAGCGTCTTCTAAATCAGCAGCGACCGAACGAACGCGGCGGTGCTGCGGAGTTCTCCGCCCAGCCGCGAGGTCCTCCGCCCAGCCGCGAGGTCCTTCCACCCGGAGTCCGGGCCGTAGCCGGCGCGCCTCCTCCCTCCCGCGCATGCGTGCCCGCCTCCTCCCCCGCTTCCCCGCCACTCCCTCCCGGTGCGCGCGCTTCCGGGCCCTCCGCTCCCTTCCCCCGCTCGCCGGCGGCGCCCGCCGGACAGCTGTTTGCCATCCGCGCCTCTCCCTCCCGCCGCTGCCGCCGCGCCGGCCCCGCCCCCGCCAACAACCGGCTCTCTGATTGGCTCGCCGCTTGTCTCTTCTCTCCCGCAGCCAATCGCGCCGGGTGAGGAGCTCCTGGTCTGGTACAATGGGGAAGACAACCCCGAGATAGCAGCTGCGATTGAGGAAGAGCGAGCCAGCGCCCGGAGCAAGCGGAGCTCTCCGAAGAGCCGCAAAGGTAGGACGCGGGCGCCTGGCCGAACCCGGCCCGACCCGACCCGACCCGGCCCCCGCCGCCGGCTTCCGGGACGCGGGCAGGGCGCGGCGCCCGGTGACCTTTCCCGGACTCGGCCCTCCCGGCCCGCGGCGCCCGTCCGGCCCGCTGCTGAATCACGGCGTCCCCACGCCGGGCAGTTCGCGAACTTGAGCCCGAGCGCCGCGCGGCGGGGAGCGCGACCGACCCGAGCGGACTCGGCCTGGGCCGCGGAGCGGGGCCGGCGGCCTGCGCCTTCCGGCCGGTGACAGCACCCGACGCACTGGCTGCGGCGCGGGCCGCGGAGCGGGGCGGAGGGAGACGGGCTGGGAAAAGACAAAGATGGGGGCTCGGAGCCGGGCCGGCCGCCGCGGTGGGCTTCCCGGAAGGGCGCTCGGCGTCGTGGAAGTTCGGGAGGCGAGTTGTGCGGCTTCGGCCCAGGTCCTACCGGGTATGATTTACGATGTTTTGAGCCGAAGGTAGAGCGTTAGTCACTATGAAAGGGAGGGGTTAATTGGTGGGTAGGAAATAGTTTGGTTGGCTATATCGTATTTCCAGCTGTCATGCCGATTCGTCGCTGGAATTTCCTTAAACCAAGAATTTTAATGTGAGACTCTTTTATTGAGTCTGGTTTGAATACATGCCAAGGCACGATGCGGTAGTTTTTATTAAAGCAGATGCGTTGTTATTTTGCTCTCCCTCTCCTTGGGTCTTAAGTAAATTTTTGTAATCCGAACATTGCAAAGTATGTTGTGGGAGTCAGACTATAAATAAACACATAACATGATTTTGGAAAACTCTCAAAGCAATGTTAAAGACATTGTGATTTTTCAATTCCGTATTCTTTGTATTTCACAACAAAGTGAAAATAGCAGAGGGTGGGCCGGTTGGACCCAGTCCTCACTACAATTTTCTGTTTATTGAAGATGATTTGGTTGCTACTTTAGGTCATTAAATACTTTAATTCTGTATCAAATGATCAAAGTCTAGAACCCCCCCCCCAACTCCCGGAACCCCGTTTGGTTTTGAGACAAGGTCTCCCGGTAGCCACAGCTTGCCTGGAACTATGTAGACCGGGCTGCCCTGCATCTGACAGAGATTCACTTACTTCCTGGGGGTTTGGGATTAAAGGCT